AAACTAATTTATGCATACGAGTTATCGAGATATATCGTTCTTTTTCAAATCTTCCTTATAGGTTCAGATAAAAAAAGTTAAAAACTAGAGTTTCTAAATTTCTGTTGCCATTACAGCTAACAGCAAAATTTATAAAAGTATTTTATACTATTTCAGCTTTACAATAAAAGTATTTTTAAGTATCGTTTAGTAGATCAGTTCTTCTACCATACAAAAAAAAATCAGATCATTTAGACCAGTTTTAAAATAATTATATCGTTTTAAAGGACGTCCACATATATTTGACTCCCACTGTACGTTTAGGAAGTTAGGAATTCTTAAGTTCGACAGAAGAGGAAAAATTGTTATCCTGAAAGATTTAGCAATGGGGAAGATAAGGGTGCCTTCTGGTAAGAGGACTGTATCAGGCCACTCAGCACTTACCCCAGAACCGTCTAACTGAGGAAGTTACATTTCTATCCATGCAAAAGACAAACTATTTTTTGTTCAGAAACAACGAATCCTGTATACTGTAGTCTAGGTCATTACCAAGTCTCGAAATAACAATTAAGTCTTAAATAACAATTTCGGTATCATTGGTGCACACGCACTCGTTGCTACATTAACAAAGCGTAGAATAAAAATCGTCGGTTCCCCGCGAAAATTGGAGCATCTCGCATCCACGAAGAATGGATTGAAGTCGCAGAGTTCTCGTTTCCAGGATTGTCACACGAACTTTTTTCATTTCGTTTATTTTGCAGCATTCACATTTTCATCGTATTGTGTCCATAATCTTTTCATGTGTTCGTATTTCCGTCGGTTTCTTGTCATTTATTTCTTGCCAGATTCGTGTTCCGTGGCAGAAACTTCTTCGGATCGAGTCTTTCAAAAAAGACGGAAGGTCGGATGGACGAAGTTTCAATATTAGTTTCGTAAGTGGAAGTACTGTACGTGAGAATATTGGGGCGACTGTCATGCAACGCCATGTAAGGTGGGGTTTGTAGTCTTGTTTCAAAGTACACAGAGCTTGGAATTAAAGAGCTTTTCATGCGACACCTGTCATAAGATTCGGTTTACTATTTCTGCGGGCACAAGGATACTAAGGACTATTTCGCATAAGGAACGACAACGCATATCACGTGCTTTGATTTCCCCGAGATCTTGTCGTTTAAAGTCCTCAACGCTAAATTTTCTTCTTGGAACTATTTTCTGATTTTGCTTTCATCGTTAATTTACATTCTTCTGTCTAATATTCTTCATTTGTTTAATCGATATGAATTATACTAAATTTATTATATATTATTATATATTATATATATTATTTATTTATTATATATATACAATAATATTATATATATAATAAATTTAGTATAATTCATATCAATTAAACAAATGTAGAATATATATATATATATATATAGGATCCGTATAACCGGAAGTTTATTGTATGGGCTTTTGAATGTCTGTAAGTGACTATGTCATCGGCACTGTACACTCATGATACGATAGCGTTCCGACAGACCAAATTGATTCATTCAAGAAGATATTATACACGAGCACAAAATATAGTAGACACGATAACATATTCCACGTGCCGTTAAACGTAAAACATAAAAACCTATGCATTATGCAAGAAATGCAAAATAAAAAATACATTTTCGAAATTCTTCGTGCACAAAACATATTTCTATTCAGCAATTCTTTTACGCGCACGCATTTTCATAAACGTCCGGCGTCTAGAAATGATATTTCAAATAACGTAATTGCAAGTGTGTCGCAGGTTTGTTGGAAGCAACGTCCTTTCCGTTACCCGAACTCCGACTCCTCCTTCGCGGAAGCGAAGAAAAGCTAGTTCTTTCGCGAGCTCCGTACTCGTTGTGAACGTTGGCAATTATTTCACCGGGATTTTTGTGTTCCACCCCGTGATGGCACACACACACAGACACACCTACCAACCCCCGGTGTGCCGGCTGGTTGGCTGGCTGTTGTTCGGTCTCGGCTTCGGTTAATTAATCGGCCGTTGCCGGTTCCGAATAACTAACAAAATTATAGCGGCCAACCGGTTCTCCTCGTTTCTCTCGCATTAGAGGAGATTGTTTCGTGGCAGTTTCTTCGCTGCCGCGATTCTTCCATTGGCGGCCAAGGTGGCGCAATCATGCTCGAGTAGTCGCGACTCATTTCCCCAAGTTTCGTGGTACACTCTCCTCCTCCTCCTCCGCACCGTCACCCATCCTTTCGCAATTCGCCACGCTCCTCGCGAAGCCCCCTGTAATGGCCCCTTTCCAACCCTCGTCGGGACCCTTCCGCCGTTGTTCCGCCGGTGGCCATGGATTATACGATTTAATCTGGACGCATCATCGCCACTCCCCCCCTTCCTTTATCGTCGCACCCTTCCAATTAAAATGCACCACCGGGCTAAACGCTCGGATCGAACGGAAAAGGGTGACCGAGTGGTTTTTCTCCTCGCCCGTTTTTGTTACGGAAACGGGAACTATTAATTGCTGGCTAATCTAGTTGTAAAGTCTGCCTCGAAGAGTCAACGAGGTCGCTAATTATTTTGCGATTAAGTTGGACCGGGCTCGTCCGAACGTTTTGTGCATCGCGGGTCCTCGATGCGGGGATTTACCTTCTCGGTAAATTTGGATTCTTATTCATCGGTCTTCGTTTGGAGTTTCTAACTAAGTCCTGTTTCATTCGTTGTTTTGTGAGAGAACGAATTGCTTCGAGCAGAGCTGTACTTGTCATCATTGTTATTATCTCGTTTCTTTCTTAAATATTGTGAAGCTAGTCGAACAATTTGTTTCAGTTGGATATCGGATAAAATTGCCATTATTGCGGCTAACGCGGTTCAACGATCGAAAATTGGACCTTTTACATTGCCGCGTAATTGGTAATGCTTAGGTTTATGAGATGCCCTGGTAATTATTTACTTTGACGTTATGCAATTATCAGATTTTTATTTCTCGTGTTATTAATCGTATTTCTATAGTAATTTTTCTGGCGCGCAATGATCTTGTTGCATCTTAATAAATAACTGCATACTTAGTTTGCAAGACTGGGTCAAACTGTGTTAAATATTCTTTTTCACGAGAAAAGTATACCATTGTTCTATGATTGTCTATGATCATATATATAATATAAAAGTCTATATATAATATAGACAAGTCTACATATATAGTCTATACAAGTCCATACAAGTCTATACAAGTC